ATCTGGGCTGGCTTGGATCCAATGTCCTCAGATCTCAGCTTCCTGAGCAGCTAGAATTACAGGCATGAGCCACCAGCACCCAGCTCACTAGTTACTTTTGAGGTTGAGTATCATTTTATTTTCCCACTGACCTGGTCTGTGCTCTTCCTACTTGTTTTAATCCATGTGGCTAGGTATGATGGGCATACACTAGTATGCTCTGCAATTGTGCTTTCCCATAGTTAGGATGACAGGTGCATTCCATGCTATCCAGCTTTTGGATGAAATGGAGTATTGCAAACATATCAAGGCTAGTCTTAAACCTTGATTGCCTGATTTCTTATTTTATTTTATGATTTCTTATCTATCTATCTATCTATCTATCTATCTATCTATCTATCTATCTATCTATCTATCTATCTATCTATCTATCTATTTTTGAGCCCTTCTTGGAGCTTGAACTTAGGGCCTGGGTGTTGTTCTTGAACATTTTTGCTTGAGGTTAGTGCTCTACCACATGCATCACAGTTCCATGTCTGGCTTTTATTTTTTAGTGGTTAAATGGATCTTCCTGCCTGGGCTGCCTTGGAACCAGGGTCCTCAGATTTCAGCCTCCTGTGTAGCTATTACAAGCATGAATCACTGGTGCCCAGTTCATTTTTATACTTTGTTCATTTTTAGTTTATATGATTAGCTTATTTTTTAGTTTTATTATTTGAATTTTATTATTTTATCCCTTTTAATAATTGCCCTAAAGTGGAAAATGTGTTTTATTATATTACAGTCTTATAATAGTATTCTCATGTCACAATGAAACCCCTCACTTTATACAATATATGCTAATAGAAATAATATTTGTGCCATTACCATCATCTATATATCTATATGGATTATTAACTATGTAGATTGCTAACCCCAGATACTACATTATTCTTGCGATTTTGTTTAACTTTAGTAGTACTTACTGGGGTTTGAACGCAGTGCTGCATACTTGTTAGGGGAATACTCTTACCACTTGATCTAATGCCCCCCCAGCCCACTTAGTGTTGTTCTAAATAGTTATTGCCTAAAGAAATATAAAAATGATACATTTTTCATATATTCACCAAAATATTTATCATTTCCTGTGTTCTTCATTTCCTTGTGTAGACCAGTTTCCATCTGGTATCATCTTTGTTCAGCCTGAAAAACTTTTTTCAACAACTTTTTGTAGCACAGATGTGCTGCTAATTCTTCTAACTTTTGTTTTTCTCAAAATGTCTTCATTTTCTTTCATTTTTGAAAGCCATTTTTCCTGAGAACATAGAAACCCTAGATCTTTTACTTTTTCTCACTTTTGTGTAATCAACATTGTAAATATTAATATGTTGACAGTTTGGATTGTTGTTTTCTTTGAAGTGTTTCAAATTTTGGAAGTGGAAATGTGGTCCAAGTGGTAGAACACTAACTTTAAGCTAAAAGCTAACTATTAGTGCCCAAGCTCTGAGTTTCAGCCTCATTATTGGCACCAAAAAAAAAAAAAAAAGGAAAAGATATTGTGTATTGAATTTTATTTTGGCAAGCCAGATTGATTTGTTCAAACCTCTTCATTTTCTTTATTATCTTTGGGTTCCTTTTCTTTATTGTTGGCTTCATTCTTGATCAGAGTCTTCTGATGATGTGGGAAAGATGGCTCTTGATAGCTGACAGATTGCTCTCTCAGCAGGAGGAATCATGATCCTCCTCAGAATTTATAAAATTCTGAAATATTGACCACGAATCACATGGATCCACCCTATAATTCAGAATCACACCAAGCAGAAAAGAGGCAGTTTATAGAAGGAAGGGATTTAGGATAGACTGAGTATAAAAATCTCACAAACAAAAAAAAAAAAGGAAAAGAAAAGAAATAACATGTCTATTGTAGTCCATAAGAGCTCTTTGTATCTATATCCTTTTTTTTTTTTTATTGTGAGAATACCGTACCGAGGAGTTACAATTACATGGGCAAGATAATGAGTACATTTCTTATCAAGCATTGTTGCCTCCTCTTTGTTTCCCTTTCCCATCCCT